GTCTCTCTCTCATCCTTCTTGCGGGCGAATGACATGCCGAGTTGACCGACACACACACCCTGACCATGATGAGGCCTGACGTAGGTGTAATGTACGTGCGCACGAGCCAAAGGGCCCTGCGCAAGCGAAGAAAAAAAGAATTCCCATGATTTCTCTTACCCTCAGCCATCGAGTAATAACATACCCTTTTTCCCTCGCTCAACGGCGCCTTACACTTTCTGCCAAGACCCCTTTCCTCCTATGTCGGCAGGCTCCGGGGTCCGGCGCGTGAAACACAGCGCTTGGAGATGCACAGATGGGATTGTCTCTCGAGTGGTGGGATGGCACACTTCGTTCGGCCCCTCGCTCATGGACCATCCCTCCTGCTCTCCCCCCCTCTCGTCTTCAGTCTGCTCAACTCCTTTTTCCATTCGCAGCGTGAAATCTGAAAACGCGGGGGGAGACTGAGGCACGGCACTACTCCAAACGCAGCCATCCAGCTCGTGTCGTGTCGTGTGCTGTCGCACCTCAACGCCTCCTGTCCTACCCCAAGACAGCTCAGAGCTAGCTTCCCACAGCTGCTGTAGCTCCCTCAAGCTCCGACGAGTCCGGCCTCTGGGAAAGGGGGAAAGGCGACCTGTCGTTCCCTTCTTTCCCGCACCTCATGCATGCAGCACCTGAAGGGCAGAAGAGAGGTGTGAACGAGAACCAGCAGTGACGAAGGGGGGATAAAAGGTACTCTGCAGCGCCAGCCAGTCAGACATCCGGACAGACAGCCCACTGCAGTTCGTCTCACAAGCTTTCTCGCAGACTTCCGGGACTGCTCTCCCCCCTCCCCCCACGTTCGCTCGGGCTGCAAGTGCGCTGCACGACAAGCCCTGCACCCAACAGGCTCCTCCAGGCTGCTGCTGCAGGCAGGCAACCCCTTCCCCCGTCATCTCACCCTTCCATTGGACGGGAGAGCTATTATGCGAATGCTGGGGAAATGGAAATGGAAACCGAGCTAATGGAAGGGCCCCGATAATGGATTGTGGAGGAGCCGGGGTGAGACAGGGAAGGCTGCATGCACACTTGGGGGGATGTGACGAATGGGCCGGGCTGTTCGGATTGACAGCCGGCGATGGGTTATTTCTGACTGTTTCTGACGACTTGGGCTCTAGCTTCACCGACACCGAATGCACCCTGCGAAGCCTCTCTGTCTTGCTTCCTCGTCTGACAGTTGTCAAGAGGAAGCGATACCGGCGATCCTGAGTGACTCTTCCTGTCTATGCCAATACTGGTGGATGATCCCTATCCCACAAGGTCTGACCGTCGCCACCTCTCAAACCCTCGAAACCACCTACGCATCCTCGTTGGCCAACCCCGCAAGATGAGCAAGATCAACCGAACTGAGATCTCTCAGCCAACGGTCAGACGCATTCCGGGGGACGGAACGGGAACGAAGCGGAGGATGGGGAGGGTTGCGACTCTAGTGTAGGGACAAAATCTGGGGCGCAAGGAAAGAAGAGCAGAAAAAGGCAAAACATAAAGCCAAGAAGTCGCATCAGTCCGCGCCACGAAGCTACATCATCTAGACTGGCCTCACAGATGCTGGGAACTTGGGAAAGATTTGGGGTAGCTTCGTTGTGACTCGCCGGTCGCTGAAATGCCCCGAACCCGTAGCTGGTTACAAGCGAAACGCCACGAATCGTGGGCGTGTGTCATTTACAATCTGAGGAAGTACAAAGGCCATAAACACCAAAAAAGAACGACACGCGCAGCCGACTCATTAATAAGGCATGTATTTGTGACACACCCCGATGACGGTTTGAAATGGCCCAAAAATAATTGAAAGGACAAAGAAGATGGGTCCTTTCAATGCGGCCTGCATCGGCTCACTGCTGAGAAAAGACGCCCACTGTCCGCGACTCGAGGCCAGACGCTGGCGACTCGGTGAAGGACCACGTTCCCGGCGAATCCGGCCAAGTCCGTTGGGAAATGGGGCCTTCGTGTCTCCATCATCGGCCGACTTCCGCTGCCAATAAGCCCGAGCATTAAAGGCGAAGTCGTCGCGAGGGACGTTCAAGGGGACCTCTCTCAAGCCGATGTATTTTCGTGAAAGACGGTGTGCCAAGGGTTGAGGCAGAGACACCCGGCGTCATAACCACAGACCCTCGGGAGGAATTCACACGACGATTTTTTTCTTCTTCTTTTCGCGAGCCTCCTCGTGTGTCGGGAGCGGGTCACTTGTGTCCTCCGTCATCGCATGTCCCAACGCCTTTTTCAAAACCTAAGGACTTGGGCCTCTTCTGCAAAGGCACAAAGGGTTCGAGGGGACTTCTTGGCGTCCAGGCAATCAACTGTGGCACAGACTGATGACGGTGTCAAGGCGTAGTCCGATGAGGTCCAGTCAGCGAGGCAAAAACGTGTCTCGCCTTTTCTCGTCGTCTTGCTTAATCAGTCATCGTCCACGGACTCATCGGCGAATGCCGTGCTTCTGTATTCTGGCGCCGGGGCGAGCGACATTGAGGAAGGCCGCTTACAACATTCCATGAACTTGGTCCCTGACAGCATTTGACAGACGCCCGGCGACATACAGACAGAAAGCCTGTCACTGAATGACACTAACTCCAAGGAACCTCACGTTCCTCTGGCGCAACAGTCGCTGAAAAGGGCTTCGCCTGGGTAGAGTGAGGCGGGCGGGCGGACCCCAACCCAGCCGACTCGGCGCCAAGAACTCAATGCCCCCCAAAGCGAAGCGTCAAGCCTCAGCCCGCCCCCTCTCAACACCTATTTCCTGCTACCTATGACGCAAATGTTTCTGCTAAAAGGTGGACGACACAGGAAACCCTAAAAAAGGGCAGACCTGGAAGGCTGGAGTTAGCCCACAGGGTCCCTTGTGGGGAAATACCATCCCCTGTGCCGAGTAGGATGTAGGATGCAACTCTGCCGACTGTTGGGATATTTCGGGGTGGCAGTGCAGCGCAGCGCCGTGCTGGTGTCTTGCAATGCCGTTGGCTGGTTTGTCGCGGGGCATAATGCAGGTTCCCACGGCCATCCTGGATGACGGAGGAGCCCCCGCGGTGGCAATCAAGAATGAGACATTGGTCGGAAGAGGCAACTTTTGGGGGCTTGTCATCTCAACTGATGTAACTTGGTTAGCTAGCTGCACAGATGGGTTCAATTGCAAGCTGGTCACGCGCAAACCTTGGGTAAACTCTGTGCCGGCCAGGAGAACGCTTTGACTCTTTGGACAACGTTGATGCCCAAGTTGCAAGACATACGCGTTTGTGCCAATCCATCATTGCCAATGAATTTAGAGATATTACAAGAGTTGAAGGACGGTGGACTTGGAAGCAAAATGACCAATCCCAAGTAATGAAGTTCTGGTTCACAGATTGTTTGATATTTCTGTCGTCCGAAGCTTGGTCGAGATACTGCCCAGAGATACCAAGTCCACGATCTTGCCTGCAACATTTGACTTTCCCAAGTCGACTAATGTGATCATTTGACGTGCTGCATCTACCACCAACATGAGGCGTCATCGACGGGAACAAATAAGCAGATTCAATGGTGCCGCGATAAGAACAATTGAGCAGCGAGGCCCACGTTTGAAATCCGGGGAAACTCACAGAGTGCCAAGGCGCAACTAAGCTGCATGTTAGGTCAAGAGACTCAGTTGCCTGACCCTAAGGAGCCATACTTTCAGTTATCTGTTCTACTGTTCTAGCGGCAAACGGGAAAGCACCGTGTGAGAAGCGTAAAACACTCACCTGGACAACACCATAATACACCAGCGGCCCTGGGAAGCCCAGCGAAACGAAATACCCAAGTGCTTGAGTGGTAACCTCAACGACGTCTGCTCCTCAGTGGGCCACGGCTGGGAGATTGTATGCGGCTCATCAGTTTCACCACATGACGGGACGTCCCCGCAGAGCTTTCCAGGAATGTCAAAATTACTTGCCCATCTTGAACGGTTTGAATAGAGATAAATGTCGAGACACTGGGAGCAGGAGGTTCTTCTTTAGATATCACAAAAAGCCTTTAAATCGATCCATTCTTTCTTAATGAGCCTGAGGTTGAAACTGAGAGCTGCAAGGTATCGTGAGGTATAAAGCTCAAACAGCTACTGATTGAACAACAAGTACAAAGTTTTTCTTCATCCCAGAAAGGAGGAGTAATGAATCTGATCAAGTCTCAACTCTAGATTTGACGACGATGCAAGGGGGTTAATCGGTTCAATGAATTGTAGAAACAACAAGGCAAGAATGACTCTGAACAGTAAAGCTTCATGACCTCACAAGCTTTTCATTTATTTTCTTTAGCATTTAAGTCTCTATCTATATATGTTAATAAAGCTATGGGGAAAGGTATTTTGAACTCTAAGGTTTTTATAAATTCAGTCTTCATATCTTTGAACAGGTCCTAAGATGATATTCGTCTTAGGTTCAGGATCATAAAGTAGGAGCTAACATCTTTTGCTCCTTCCCCTTTTTTCAAACCCCAGCTGTATATTCTAAATCACAGGTTGCTGTCCTTGAAAGCAAGTATCCACAAAGAGTCCTCAGTCCGTATATGAAGAGTAAAAAACATCATCTCAACTTCACCTCATTCTTCACAAAGTATTGGATTTTTCTTTCACTCCCAGCCTCGACAAGAGCGACTGGCACTGATATTCAACACGCGCACATTCCAGTTCAGCTCTAAACTCCAAACAAGGCAGGGTGCTCCTACTTCCACACCGTTCCGCTCTTGCCTTCTGTGAGGCAGGTGCTCACTGAAAAATTCTCACTCTTTCCTCTTTTGCCATAACTGCAATACCTCAGCCTCCACCCTTTCACCTCAAACGCTGGAATTCTTCCCCACGCACAAAACTTCTCCAGCTTTCACACAAAAGCAATCACCAACCCAGCTGCCCACTGCGCTCACTCTGTGTCGCCTTAGCCCAACCACCGCGCGATCGAGAACAACCTGGAAACGATCGAAATTACTCAGCCTCACCAGACGAATCGCACGATCACAAAAGCATCCGCGCGATACCCATGGCGACCCTCTCCAAGCTTCCCCCGGAGTTGATCCGTGAGATCTGCCTCCACATCCACGAGCACGATCTTGACCAGCCCGACAATCAGCAAAACTGGATTATTCCTCAGAAAGCCCTAGCCTCGCTGTGCAAGGTCTCAAAAGCTTTCTGCAATACAGCGCAGCCCATCCTATTCCGAAGAGTTCACATCACAGTCAGACGGCAAAATCTGATCCCCCACAACACCAAGCTTATTGCTCTGCTGAGGGTTCTGATCAAGCGACCCCATTTGGGGGAGCAAATTCGCCTGCTGAAGCTATCTGTCCACGAAGCCGGTCACCACTGGATAAACCGCCTCAACCTCACGAAGCCCGTTGCATTCATACCACTGGAAGAGGATGATTTCCAGCTATTCACGAATGCTGCAAAGAGAGAAAGCTGGATGGGGGATCTCAGCGCCCATTGGGACAACAGCTTTCTTTCAGAAGAACAAGTACTTTTGCAGCTTTCTCTAGCAAAAATGCCCAGCTTGAACGAGATGCAGCTGGCGATTCCCAATGAGACTATCAGCAGTTCCATGTTCTCTCATGGCTTCCGCCAGGCTATGGCGGAGAACAAGGTCTTGAAACAACTCAGGGCAGTGCACATGCACGGTTTCCCTGATTTCATCCCTGAAATGAGGTATATTGTTATGCGTGAACTTCAACCCTTTCTCTTCCTTCTCCAACCGCAGGTCACAAAACTTCATGTTGAGAATTGTCTCGGTCACTGGGAACCTATCGCCTGGCCTGAATTTGCCCAACTCGCCCACGTCAAGCATCTCACCATGCATAATTGCGGGCTGACACAATGGGACTTCGACATTTTTATCACAGCATGTCGCAGCCTCGAGAGTGTTGCCTACACAGCCCACCCAATTGGAAGCCACACCAGGGAGCAAGAATCACCACAGAACTATGTGGCGGGCCTACAACGGCACTCGCACTCAATCAAAGATCTGCACTTGGTAGTGAACCCCAAGAAGCAGAATGAGATGTGGAAGGCTGGATACAGCTCTTTTGAGTCCTTTGAGAGCCTCGAGTCACTCACGATCTCCCCCAGCGACTTTGGAGAAACCTTCATTGTTCCCGGCACTCTTGGACCAAAGGCACTCTCGCAGACACTGCCCAAAAGCTTGAAGCATCTCATGGTAAAGCGATGGTGCTGGCCTATGAGGATTGACGTCGACTGGTTGGCCCAAGCTGCCTGCCGAGGAGAGCTGGAGAACCTCGAGACGCTTGACATCGAGTATTGCCTGAGCGCAACAAAAGACCCGATTTCTATGGCAAACAACCTCAGAACGGAACTCGAGAGAATCAAGGGTGGCCCTATCACGTTCTTCATTCGCCTGCGAAAGCTAGGGAATTCACACAAGGATGCGCTTTGGTAGGTGTGACGCCGAAGACGGCTGGCGATGGGGGACGACGCCTATGAGGGACAACGACGACGGGGGACAACGACGATGGGGCAAAACGATAGTGGTGGACGACGACGGGTAATACTGATAGACAGGGACGACGACACGGAAAGACGACGGCGATGGTGGCATTGACGGCGGATTAATACAAAACTGGCAAGGACCTTTACCGGTAGAAGCACCGAGAGAGTGGCAAAGAAACACGATTATTATTATTATCAGAATGGCTAGATCAGAATCGAAACAGCAGTATTGCTAGGGTCCATGACCATGTAAGGGATGCTGCCCCTGTCCATCTGCCTGCTCGTGACAGAAAACTCCACCTCGAGGTCCTTGAGGTCGTAGAAGAACTCCTCACTCACCTCCCGGATGTTGGCGCTGTTCCTGCCCGCGCGGCAGTGCGTCCTCCACTGCGAGTGCGCAAACGAGATCAGGCTGCGCTCGCCGGCGACCTTGAAGCTGAGGAGCCACGGCACCTGCGCCGCGAGCAGCCACTCGCGCTGGCGGCCGATGGGCAGCGCCTTGGTCATCTCGACCTCGGAGTAGTCCAGGAGCTCGTCCAGGGTGCGCGGCGGCGGGCGGCAGAGCATGGGCGGCTTGGCGAGGACGAAGGCCTGGTAGAAGTTCTGCAGGTAGTTGACCGTGGTGTGGAAGGGGGCCGCGATGTGGATGCTCATGGTGATGGCGTCGATGAGCTGGTCGAGCGACTGGATGTCGGGGAAGTTCTTGATACGCCCGCCGGTCTGCGCCTCCTTGCACCAGTCCTGGATGAAGTTGTCGTTGCGAATCTTCTCGTCCGCGGTTTCCTCGTCGTAGTGCGTGAGCAGCATGCCCTTGACGTACTTGCGGATGACATTCCACATGGAGAGGATGTTCTTCGCGTAGGCGTAGTTGTTGTACTTCTTGTCGTCAAGACCTTCCTTGGTGTTGGGGAAGCCACGGTGCTCGAGGTCGTTGGGGACGTAGTTCTGCTGGTAGTCAAAGTTCTCGAACTCGTATGCCATGTACTTGAAGCACTGCTCGGGGCTCATGCCGACGAGGTCCTTAATGACCTGCGGCACAAGTGTATCGCGAGCTCCGGCGTTCAGGGAGAGGGTCTTGTACCAATGAGGCTGGAGCAGCTTGTAGACGATGTGCTCCATGGGAATCGCGCGGTGCGTCGCGACGATGACGGCCTCCTCGATGAAGTGGGCGCGTGTCAAGTGGACACCGACCTCGTGGCGGAACCAGTCCGAAACCTGGGCACACGTCTTTGCGTATCGCCAGGGCCAGTCAGTCTTCTCGAAGATGGAGGGGTCAGAGGGCCTGTGACGGCGGTTGTAAATGGTGACGGAGGTGGCCATGCTCTCCTTGTAGTCGCAGACGATGGCGACAGGGTGCAGCTTGCCGTCGCCGAAGAGCTGGAAGAGCGTCACGGCGGCGCAGCTCCAGTTGTTGTCGGACTTGGGCTCCTTCCAGGTGAAGTTTTCCTCGGCGTTGACGCCACAGGCCTTGCGGAAGTAGCGGCAGTCCTGGACGAAGAGGTTGGCGGGGTTGAGCGTGGCGAGCGTTTTGGCCCAGTAGTCGTACCCGGTGCGCTTCGCCGTCTCGATGAACTCCTGGAGCAGGTCCTCGGGGACCTTCTCGATCGTGGTAGGGTTTGTGCCGGTGAAGGACTGCTCGGCAAAGCGGCGGTCGGAGTACCAGTCAGGGAGGAGGCCGATGTTGGCGCCGCGCTCGACGTCGGTACCGGTCTTGCGGAAGAAGAGGTTGTAGCGCTCGCAGTCGGCGATGGTGGGACCCGCCTGGGGCATGCCGCCGACCAAGCTACTGGCGACGCCGGAGACAAACTTGACGGCTGGGTCGTTGGCAAACTTGTCGGGGATGATTTGATTGAGCATCACTGCAGTCTGAGCTACTCCTGCGGCGTTGAAGATGGCGATGTTGGGGGTTTTGTCGGTCAGAGGAATGTGGTCAAGATGAGGGGGATAGGCGAGACCGCCCTCGGCTTTGTAGGGGTACGAGGAGTAACGGTAGATTTGACGCTTGAATTCAAGGTCGATGAACCGTGGGATCGTTGGCTCGATTTGGAGGACGTCGAAGACGGACTCATAGCTGCGTGGTAAAGGCTGTGGTCAGTGGATGTGGTACGTTGGTGTCTGGCACATTGTGAATAGTCTTACGTTTTCTCAATCATCTTATACGCTTGTGTGAGAGCGGCTTGGGTGCCATCATAGGTGCCAATAACGATGTTGCCCTTGGCAATGGCGAGCCTGTTCGCGGGGGTGTCCTGGTCAACTCGAGCCACAATCTGTTGGCTCAGAAGCTCGACGTCGAAGACACCAGGGTCGAAGTCCGTAAGCGCAAGCTCCTCAATACGAGCGTGTAGCTTTTTCCTGCGCTCCTCGAGACTGGGCTGCCTGAGCACATCTTCGAGGTTCATGAAGGGGACGTGCTTTGTACGCACGAGGTCGAGAAGGCCAGCCATTATGTTGGAGAATTGTGGATCGAACAACTTGAGGAACGAGAGACTGTGACTGATGTGATGAACTGAGAGCCAAGGAAGGTGGCAATGCATCACCTTCTTATACACAATGACAAACTCATCTCTAAACTATATTTTCCGTGCCTGCAACGTGTAATTGTGAGAGTGTTCATGGAGATCATCGACGGTTGCCGCAAGCAACTCTGGTTCGTTGCTTTCGTCCCGGAGCGACCACCATTTTGGAACCTTTAGAAGCTGTGGCTGAGCTGAGGAGAAATGCCGACTGCGGAGGGCATTCTAGAGAAATCCGAGACATGGGCATGCGACCACTCTGCTCCTCAGCACCTGCCGTGCCGTACTGCTTTTGCGAAGGCGAGTTCGAACATGAACCTAGACACATTAAGACAAATCTCTTGATGATCATTGTAGCACCACATTTCCCACTGAAATTTATCTAGATCAAGAGAAGGTATTGCCCAAAGCCCCGTATTGCGATCCCCAGCGGTGGCCATTGGAGTTCTCGAGATGCGCTGGAAAATTGTAAGACCCCATGTCTCAAGCTGGGGAAGCTATCGAGAACAGAGTTCACAGTAGCTGATACCAACAGTGAGACATTCTTGATAAGGAAGCGAATGGCCGGATTGATACAAGCCGATAATTCCAGCCCAGCCGTTGTTGGGCGGACTTTGGGTGCCGTCTTCCCTCAGCGGGCCGCTTCCACGTTTGCGGAGAGCGTCGGCAACTTTCACGTGGCTAAGTACCCCCATTCTCGTGCTTTCTGATCGAATTCGGAAATCGAATTCCTCCTCAAATGCTGATTCACATGTGGAAAGAAGCATCTGACAGACTTGAAGTGTTGGAGCTTGGCACGCGGGGCAGAAGCGATGTAGGTACGACGTAGAATTCCTCCGTTTCCAGTTGGTGTCTCTAGCAGCAAAGCTACCTATTCTGCCGAAACGCGAAAGACCCGTGCATAGTCACAGAATAGGTCAACATGTACGCAGAAGCGATGTCACTTGTGCTCCGGTCCATGGCCTGGTCCTACAGTTGACTACTGAAGGCCTAGCTTCTTGACTAGAGAGCCACAAGTAATTTCTCAACATCAGTGTGATGTAGAGAGTGTCGGCCAAAAAGATTCTTATTTAACTAGATTATGAAAATTCACAAGTAATCATGTACATCAACCAGAGAGCCGTGCACTACCCAAGCTTCCAAATTCCCAATACAGATCGGAACACCCTACAGGCTGTCACCCTTGCATGAATATTGTCTACAGACGCCTTCATCCTCATTATTTCGAGCCCGTTTTCCTTTCTTCTTTCCGTCTATCGTCGTTGCTCTTGGCACTCAGATGACCTGAGGTGCTTGGCGTTGCGAATGATCTCTGGATAAGTCGGTCTTGTAGGGATGTGGTGTCGTAAATGAAGGTGTTGAGCATCGATTCTGTGGCTTGGTCTCTAATAATTCAGCGTCAGCATATTCTCTAGTCATCACTTTTCTCGCTGGGCCGTACCCTTTCTTGACTTTTGTCCCCGATGTCCATCCACTGGAACCACTTGATGAGTCCATAGATAAAATAGAATGGGTCAAATGATAGAACGTGGCTTGTACGAATTCAAACTGTGCTTGTCTCAATAATGGTAATATGAGTCTTTGTTTTGGGCCATTCTAATTACCAGAATGACCAGAACAGAAACATCAAATAATGATCGTTGCAAAGAGAGACACTCAGTTGACTCATAAACCTAACAAAATTGACGTTGCCTTCTCGTCCTTACTATGAAGCCTTTGAAGTGGAATTTACGGAATCTTCAGATATTACGGTCCCAGACTGTTGAGTATGAACCAATGACATCTTGCGAAATATAGAACTAGCATGCGCATTTACAGAGCTCGGTCTGTCGAGATCAGGAATCAATGCTGGAAATATTTCAAACTGGCTTGTATAAACCAATCACGGCTGCAGATGGCGATCCACGACCGTGGAGCTGACCCGCATTGCATGTCACTTTCAAACAAATTCTGGCATGGGGTGACATGGTCAGCATGCAGTCAACCGGGAATTGGTGACTGAAGCAACTGATCCGTTTGTCAGGACTCAGAGTAAGGTAAGCTGTAACCTCGCTCAATGGGCACGAACCCAATCTATCTTACTTTCGACCTAACAACAATAGCTGTGTGTCAAAAAGCAAGCCCATTCTGCTCGACGATACAATAGCATCTGAGTACGACCATGTGCGACCCGTCAACGGGCGGCCTTGAGACAACATGGATGCGACCCAACCACATCCAGCGAGAGGGAACGACATACCTCAGGAACCGGATGATTTGAAATTGCAGCCAAGAGGCGCCTTCACGTGGCCTAAAGCTCAAGAGCCAAGCCTACATGATGATCTGCCCTCGAAAGGCAACATATTCAAAATTTGGCGATCCCTCCGTCACAAACTACCCTTATGTCGTGAGTGAACAAAACTGCCTGGCAGCCACGGAGACAGTACGAACAGGAAGTATGTTAACACCACCTTGGGTCAATCCAATTGGAAATCATCCATCTAACGATGATGCAACCTCCGTGGTCGAACCGGACTGGTCAAGATTGAAGCGGGAATATTCTGAATCGGTGCTTTCACGTGCAACCGGCACAACTCTTGTCGGGGATGATGAATCAGTCGTCAGCCATGAGGTTTCGGTAACGTTTCCAACCTCAGCGACTGCATCAACCGCCTCCTTGGCAAATGTTGCCTGCAACTCTTTCGGCAATGCTGTCCTCATGGACTTTGTTGCGTTTGTGCCTGAGGATGCAGATCATTCACAGGACCATGTAATACTGCAATTTCTTATTGATGCTGGCGCACGACTAGAAGAACGTAATCAGAGGGGTGAGATTGCTCTTCTGGTCGCTGCCAGTTGTGGTCGGAGAGCTGCGATGAACACTTTGTTAAAAGCAGGGGCCAGGGTAGAAGTTGCCGACCTTGGGAGCAACGATGCGTTAACCATTCTTCGAAATCGGCTCGCTCGCCGTGAGCCCGAAGCTGACCTCTATGCCAACTTTCAAGGCTGTCTTACAGAGTTGTCGGGTTATAGCAACAAATTGGCATCTGGTATATTTTCGGTTCAAGAATGGACCCTTCCGCATTGAGAGTGTGTCGAATTTGGATCGAAGCCTGCGTTGGGAACGCAGCCCAGGCGAGATGAACTTGCAGTGGCAGCGAAATCAGACAACGCGTTTTCGACAGCATATCGCCATTCATTAGCCGAAGACATGAGGCAACATGGATGAGAGAAACGAAAACTCAGTAGGCTAGTGACAGTAGATGCTGTTGAGCGAATCTTATTTATGTTTCTAACGCATTATTCAGATCCTCAAATCACTCGACGATGGACATTGACGTGAGAACAATACGGTCGACAATAACTTCATCATCTTCAAATTCGTATGCACAGGAGACGAACAGCTTAACAGACGAGATGTGCGATATGATTCTATCACACGCATTTGGATCATCTATAAACGAGGTATCAAGCCCACGGGAGGCCTGGGAGAGTGTGCGGCGATGCCTTGACGAGCTGTCGGTCCTTCATGACGACGGCTTAGAATTTTATGATGGAGAAGAATGGGAGACTGAGACAGAGGAAATGAAAGATGATGACGCAGAGCCGCGGCATATCTCGGAAAGCAGGTCGAGCTCTTTTCAATCATCACAAGCCTCGAGAAAGCGGGGCCATAATGCGTTCCGCAACGATGGAGATACCGAAGGTGAAGAGGATTCAGACTCTCACGACGGCAGCGGCAGACGACGCATGAGCAGGAAGAATGAATCAGCCCATGATTCCAAAAGATCCAAGACCACGAAGCTAAGCTGTCCCTATCGAAAGCGTAACCCCGTGAAGTTTAACATTCGCAAGCACTTCATTTGCGCTACATCGGCATTCCAGAATTTCAGCCTTCCAAAGTAAGCCGCAATGTATTCTTGAGAAATGTTGGAAACTTACAGATGCTGACATTGCGAAGACGTCATGTCATTAAACGTCACAAATGTCAAACTCCACGCCGAGGACAGATGCACATCTGCACCCGCTGTCAGGAGCCTTTCGATACAGTGGTAGCGCGGGATGCCCATTTACGTGTTCCGCCTGACCAGATCTGTCCACTGCGCGACGCAGTAAGCAACCAAGACACCATTGACAACCCCGAAGACGGAATCACGGTGGAAGTGCAAAAAAAGCTTCGGGACCGAAAATCAAAATCTGGTGTTAAAACATGAGACGCGCTATGGGCCACTCTCTTCCCAGATGATCAAATTCCAAAGTCGGAAGGTCACTTGATTTCCCTGACGAAACTTCCCGCTATCTTTACTTACGTGAAGCTCATTGTTCTTATTTGGGTAGGTTTCGAGCCAATTATTGAGATTGATGAGGTCAGAGAAGCTTTTAAGGGCAATGCCCACGAATGCGCTTCTGCCTTGCAGGCGGTTTCCTCCGGCATGGTCCTCGATACAACCAGAGTTTCGCCTGAAGCTCTTGGAAGCATTCTTGGGAGACTGTACCAGTCTTTTGTTCACAATACCCTAAAAGTCTGTAAAGATTTGTTGACAAACCCGGCAATGGCGGTCCCGCGGCATCAGGTCATCCTCGCTGGAGAGATCACTGAGCTAAGAGGCGTTGTTATTGGGGACCTGGGTTTTGTGCCGCAAAAGAATACTGAAAACCCACAGAGCAATTCGAACAAGGAGTAATTTATTAGAATCAATCGAGCAACTCGAGCGAAGTGTGCGGAGATGGCTTCCATACGTGCACCGAAGTCAACGGAGGGGGTTGATGACGACTATTTGACTTCTCCCAGTGAACACAGAGGTTTACATGGGCAAGAAAACCTGGCACCGAGTTCGCTGCTTGATTCCTTCTTAAACATACCGAGTGGTTTTGGAGATGATTGTGGCCTCTGCGGTCGACATGCTATGTCTTGCACTTGTCTTCAGGAGCTGTCCACAGAAAGCGGGTTGGCAACGATAAACGACACGATTTTCTTTGAAGGCGGTGAATATTTGTCAAGGAACGACTCAGATTGATTATTGTTGTTCTCTCATAGAAACGGTTTGATGTACAATTCGGACGCCAAGCATGATTCTTTTGCTGTGAGAATAGGGTTAGATGGAAACGACAATCTTTGTTGCAGAGACGCCGTTCATGACAACATCAAACCCATCTTGTACAAGCTCCAAACCATGTCCAATAATTCTAGGCTTGGGAGCAGGGACATATCTGCCTTGCTCCAAAGCCTCGGGTAGAAAGTCACGATAGACAGCCTCGCCGACCTCGCTTTCTATCACGTCGCTCCCCCAGATGAACTTGGTCCCAACCCCGTTCAGCTTGCTCTTGACAAATACGATCACAGACTCACAGGTGACCGCCAAAATAGTCGAAAACAAGTCCTTGGCGGCAGATGGAGGTTTTCCTGGCCCCGCAACGCTGGCCTGAGCAACGAACTTTCTCCCTTTGACAGCCGACACAACGTCTACACAAGGAACCATGGAGCCGGCACCGATAGCCAGTGCGCCAGCACATTTGCGGTTCTTGTATGTGCTGATGATGTCTTGCACAACAGTCGGGTTTCGGTAGTCAAAGACCTCCTTGGCCCCTAGGCTCTTCAGGTATTCGAAGTTCTTGGGCGATGCCGTTGCAATGACTTCGTAACCTGCTCCAACGGCGAGCTGTATGGCGTTGCAACCGACGCTGGTAGATCCACCCCAGACCAGCAGAGTTTCTCCGTTGGGTTTTGAGTTGACGTTAGGGTACTGCAGACTCAAGAAATCTTTCATAAAGAGTCCGCAGGCAGCTGTCGATGCCCCGAGAGGTATGACACACGCCTCTTCAAAGGCCATGGAATCCGGGATCGGGGTCGTGAGCTTGGTTCTCAAGACAACGTACTCCTGGAAACCACCCTCACAAGCCTTGTTGCTGCGCTTGTCCAAGCCGACGGCATGTCCGAGAACGCGGTCGCCGATCTTGAAGCGCTTGGCACCGGCGCCGGGGCCGATTTCGACAACTTCACCAGCGACATCATTGCCCAAAATGCACGGGTATTTGACCCAGCCATATAAGATGTCTCCAGCTTCTTGTTTGAAGCAGTCGACCGGGTTGATGGCCACGGCCCGGTTGCGGATGACGATTTCATCTTGGCCTGGGGGCGTGTAAGGGGCTGGAGCGACTGAGAGAGGCTTGGCCTTCTTAGCCGTGAGGAATGTTGCTCTGTTCTCGGGCATCTTTTGGGATGATCTTTTGGGATGGAATAGAATTTAAGCGTATAGTTCGATTTGAGGATGCGCGGACAGAAGACAGATTGGCAGCTTGGGATGTTGCTTGACCTGTCTTTCGATTGCGGAATTGGCACCACTTAAGTATTTCTGTGAGAGAGCGTACATTGTCTGCGAGGTGGAGAACTCCTCCCAAAATTGGAATCAAATGCATCATGAGTATCATATGAACACGATTCCACGCTCGGTAGGATTGAGAAAGTTGCTTTGATCATGAAAGCTGACCACGATTTGAGGCTTCAGTGTCCGATGCGATGAACCTCTCGCGCAGAATGGTTCCCAAACGGTCTTAGCGGCTGCTCCACGCGTGCAAGGGACTTTCAAGGGCTCGAAGCGCTAACCCTTGATCGTATTCCAGCTGGCCAATGATTGGTTTCGCACTCTTCCTGATGTCAGATTTGGGCATTCAAAACGGGGTACGATTTTGTCCCGGCGCAGGAGGAGATGATGGCGGAATCGAAGGCTCTCAAATTCTGTGAAGCGGGTAGACTGCGGTCGTAAAGTAGCTTGCCAACCATCGACCTAGTGCGATGCCTATCAAGTCAAACATAGGTACCAATCGAAGGCACCATGGTTGAATAAAATGAACATGCAGGCGAGGCAGCACAGGCGATTTGAATATCGAGCTATCCGTACCCTGTCCAATTTGCCGAATGACTGTCAGGCTGGTAAGGTTGTCTGCTTCATTCTTTCTTTTTCCTCCGTAAACTTTCAGGTTAGAAACATCTTTCCCAGCGGATGATCACCCAGCATTCGGCGCCCCCTGAAGCTATGTAATGAACATCCCCTGGAGAAAAGCCGTTCCGTCCCAACGCGTGCGTTGGCTGCCAATTTCCAGACGCGAACTTTCAGTAGACTTGATTAGTCGCGTCTTCGCGTTTTCACACCTCATCAACCCCGATCACCAACATTCGTCCTTAACATTCGATGCCGTTGAATCCATCTTAGCACAAACCCAACGCTCGCAACTGAATTTTCACCATGCCTCCCAAAGCAGATGCAATGATAGCGAGCAGGCCTCGAAAGCCTCGCAAGCCCTTGAGAATACCGACGCTTTCGCCCGACGTACACAGGCAGATCTTGTCTTTCGCGTCCCAATCTACCCTGCTCTCTGCGCGGCTGGTCAACAAGAACTTCAGCTCCATCGCCACACCCTTGGCCTTTCGTTATCCCTATCTTGGATCAAAATGGGACTGCGACCGCCTCGTGTGCGTATCCAAAAGTCGCAAACTCAGTGGCTTTGTGGAAGAGATTGATCTCGTCAGCTGGATCGAAGAAGCTGAGTGATGGAAGCACCACTACCCCTGGAGGACGCTCGCGATCCTGCCATACATCAGGAGCTTCCGGAACTTGAAGTCTTTCTATCTTGGGATGGCAGGTTTCAATTTCAACTGGCAGGTCGCTTCCCTTTTCGGAGGTCCATTTGCGGCAAGAGAGCTGAGGAGCGCCCTGCTCGACACACTTTTTGCCTGCATCGCTGGGGAGTGGACACAGGAAGAGCATGCCGGCTTGTTGACCTTCATAATCGCCCAGAAGAAACCTGAAGACGACAAATTGTACGTTGAATGGATTCCTCCGGACGCGGAACCTGCGCGACCGGACGTAATCGACTTTGATGACGGTATGTGTGCAATCATGTTAGAGGAAGAGTTCGGCAAGAAAAAGAAGAAGCCCAAGCCACGGAATCGTCCACCCGATTCGAAGCTACTGCAAGATCCCCTTTGACAGTCCTGGGAGACTCTTCTTGGTCCTGCTCTTCCTCTAGAGACGCTGAGCATCGGAGGTCTCGCACACAGCGACGACTTGGATGTCTTTAGGAGTTCTGCTTTCAAGAAGATTGCCTCATTGAAGTCGTTAACAGCATTAAAGTTCTCGGTCTCTCACAGGACAGATTCCTGCGCCAAGTCTGTCAGGCATATGTGCCGGTCAGACTCGCCAATGCTTCACTCCCTGCCAAAAACCCTCCTTTATCCCGCGATTGCAGACAACTTGAGAGTGCTATCACTCTATGGACCCGATAACTTCGGTTAGCATCCGTCTCTGGACTTCCGCCGAATCAACTGTAAGGGCAAGTCTCCGCTCATGGCGGGCTTGCCCAACCTCCGGGTGCTTGCGTTGGGTGGGTTTGCTTTCACACAGACTTGGCAAGCTGATTCGATGGCTTCACTCGGCAAGGGCTACGGGGGCAGTGGTTTAAAGGAGCTGTATGTCGATGATTGTCATGTCCTCACTGAGGCTCGCAAGTTTCGCCTCCAGTCCGGCCAGACAACCATCGGACGAGACTCTTCAGGTCAAGCAATTTAAGTCGACAACTCTGATTTCCCGGACGCCGAATCTATCGTGAACGGCATTGGGTCGGACCGGGTGCGCTTTGACCTGCGTTGGCATCACATTCTCAACTCATGGCGCCAGAGTATGACGGCACTCAAGGTCTTCGTCATGGGTTGCGGAGATCATGGCGACAACTGTCTCCGATCAGTCGTTGAGGCCTATTATCCCGATCAACTACCCATCATGAGCGACCATGACCGCGATCTGCGCTTCTTCCGGCACGGAGAAAAGGCTTTCCTCAACTACAGAGCACCGGCCCCTCCCTTTGATCACGAGGAACCCCTTGGCGATCGTTACTATAAGAAGAGAAATCGACCCGAAGCGCCGCAATACAAATACGGGGTCGGAATGTTGGTGGATTGGGACTCAGAATGTTTATGGCGAAATAACGGCCCAATCTTGCGTTACACCAAGTTCGACGGCGGCATGGGTTATCACCCCTGGACTGAGTCTTATGACGATGAGAGAGACATGAGACACGAAGGCATGAAGACTGATGAGCCAGATACGGTGAGGGAGGACATGAAAGCTTATGAGTTGCTCCTGGCAGCTGTGAAGACCAGAGCGGCGTCCTGAACCTAGTGGGCGTCTTCGCCAACGCCCGATTATTAGTTCTGTACTTGTAAGATATATAGTCCGGTGGAGGCTTGGCTTTTTCTGAAGTATGCCAGATGACATCCGTTACCGAGAAGAACCCATTTTAGGAGTATACCATTTTTTCCTCGTATCTCGTCACATTATACGTATTGTATTGTTCCGCACTTGCTAGCCCGAGGCAATATCCCTACTGAAAGAACCTCTGCAACCATCCAATCGACAGTTTGTCAACTTCTGCTCAACGTCACAGAGGGTTCGCGTAGATAGGTGGGAGCAATCTCGGAGGCCGTACCGAGCGTGATGTGATGACCAAATCACACTATCATCACGTGAGGCGAGAGAATTGCTTCTTTTCTCGGCGACCTGCATGCTCGCTCGCGTGGAACGCGGGTTTACTTTTGCCCCTCGGCGTCTTACAAATACATCCCCTCTTCAATCAGCTGCAGTCAACAGCTCATGTCGCGTTACGTTGCAACACATCAACGCGTCTAACCACAACTCCTCGCGTTGCGCGTGTAGACCGCAAGCATGGAGAAAGCTCGCCCCCAGCTCTCGACGATTCCGCCAGAGCTCATTTATCGCATCATCTCACATGCACCAAAGTCGACTCAGCTCATAGCACGATTGCTGAGCAAAACCTTCTACTCTCCAGCCACTTCCGAAGCTTTCAAACACGTGCGACTTAGCGAGACAAACGCAATGCAATTCCAGAGAATCGCGTCGGCGCCGGGACTCAGATGCCACGTTCGACAGATCACATGCGATGCACGAGATGGCATTGTTTTGAACAACGGTCCGCCTGATGTGTATCGACCTGGAGCATTCCTTGCAGTTTTGCCTTCAATCAGACTCTTCACGAATTTGAGAGTCTTGAACCTGGTATTCAGGCGTTATTTGGACGCTTTTACGCCAAACGGGCGCAAATACATAACAGAGGAATCTGATACCATGTACTTCTTCAGGAAATGGGTCCTGTTTGCCGCATTTCACTGCATTGTAGGCAGACAGGTTGTGCCTTCCGACTGTTTCTTGATCACTCTCCCACCTCCTCTCATAAAGACATTGTTGTATCTCGGGATTCAAGACCCTATACACTGGGATTTCCTGAAGGAATGCCGGTCTTCCATTCCATTGGAAGAGCTCTCGATAACGAATCTTTGCGAGATGGGTACAACCCGGGGTGAGCGGAGCGATGCAGCAGCTGAGGAACACTGGTGGGCCTTCCGAGAGGTCGCAAGTCTTCCAAGTTTTAAGAAGCTCAAATTGATGATTACACCCAACAGAATTGAGCCCCGAGAAGACGACGAGTGGCAGGAGCCTGCAGTCTACTCCACAAGAGATCGATTCGCTTTGGTCGTGAAGGTTCTGCCAGAGTGGTTCACCCCGTCTGCCGCCCGCAACCTCACTGTTCTGTCTCTTCACCACGACGAGTTGTGGGGCTATGCACCCAAATTCGACTTTCGCACCATTGGTGCTGCACCGGATCGGGGTCTTCCACAGCTACGAACTCTTTCTTTGTCGAGGTTCTGCTTCAGTCATGAGTGGCAGATCGACTGGATTGCATCTCTCGGGAAGGGAGGTCTCAAGGAGCTCTACCTGGACGATTGTGTGCTACTGTCTGTGGCATACTGTACAATTGCCTCAGGAGAGGCAAGAACAGAGCCCACCTGCATTGAGGATATTGATGGCAACAAGATTCAACTATCCAACCAAGGCTACTTGCCGGTCTCGTGGCAAGGAGGCAACAGCTGGGACCAGTGGTCAGTGTACTACCGCTCCAACCTCCAGTGGCACCAGTTCTTCAACCACTGGCGCAAGTCGATGTCTTCTTTGATGGTCTTCAGGATGGGCTCTTCGGAGGCCCATAAAACATGGTCCCACGTCAACTTATCCGACTATTGGCTGGATCCCCTACCTCGAACCACGATCCCATTGGGTGCCCACTTCATCTTCCTGAAGGAAAACGCCCACAACATGTTCCACGACGATGCCTGGCGCGAAGACGCTAGGATTGCTGAACTTCGAGTTCCATTCTACGTCAAATACATGCCGGAGCCCCTTGATGGCGATAACAAGGATCTTCGGCCATGGACCTTTCTGCCACCCATGAAGCACGGAGCCAAAGGAAGCGAGCAAGCGGATGAAGAGGATAAGAAGCAGGAGGACGACGATGTGGTGGCACTTTCAATACTGAGGCATGAGATGCATACTCGCTCAATGGGTTGGACATCATGACTGCACTCTTGCATCGTGCAACATTGGGGAATGCTCGCACCGGAACTCCACAACTCAGGCATCCTCCTCGACTAGATTTCTTAACAATTGTTAGTCGCTATTCCAAATTTGCCTGTACTCTACTGTTTCTGAATTGACATCAAATGTTGAATATTGAAAGTACTTTTAACAACACGTTGCGTCTTTTCAATAGACTGAATCTTTTCTTCATGCATGCGCTTCACCTGCATTGAACCCCCGGACCTTGGATCATGTGAGGCGATAACACTGTGGACTCGGGGGGAAGGTTGAGAGTTGCATTAGCTGCATAATCGGGAGCACCAACAGAGAGAAAGACGGGCTGTGCTTGCATCCCCGTGGTAGGGGACCATTGTTTCAACTCGGTGAATAGTCCATTTCTGGCTTGAGAGCCGACGTTGGCTGGTCGGTTTCTTCGGCGAGGGTGCTCTTTCTGCCGCTTCAAGTTCAGAGACGTTGGTTGACTGGCTAGCTTGTTGGCGGCAGTTGCAATTCACCCGGGGATCAAATGCAGCCACCAGACTACCCACCACTTCAATAATGCATAGGTTGAGAACTGACAGAAAGTCTACAGGGAAGTTCTGGAGACCACGTCTTAACGCATTGCTAAACGTTATTCCATTTGTCAAAGTCATGAAGTTCGAATTGATAGCTTTCATCCAGCAAACGTGTTGGTCTTGGATTGGCCGGTTTTAACCTGACGATGTAATGAGGAATATTCCTCGCAGAACTCATGTTTGTCTTCGTGATGTGCATAAGTAAGATCCACGCAAGTAATGAGGGAGACGTCTATCCGAATATAGTCAAGGATCTGCGTATCGGGGAGGCCAAGAACCCGTGCCCGACCATCCCCAGCATTCGCCACTCAACGTGTCAGAAGTTGTTTTGCTGCCGATGCATGTGAATGGTCAACGTTGTGTCATCGACTCAGGTCAGGGCAAGTTGAAAAATGATTTAGAGACGGAAAAGAGGAGCGTCACTTGGGATGCGAGTCGTTCAGCTCTAGAAACAGAATCGAACACGGCCATTTCATGCGCGTTCTGCGGTGCGACAAGCGGGACTATCCGCAAACGAAACGTGGCCGACGAATTGCACATGGCGATGAGAGCAAGGATCTGGGACGAAAGTGATACATCATTGGCCGTTGCAGGGAAACAAGAAAAGTGGTGGAGTTTTGTCGCTGAATATTCATCATACGATGGAGAACGGATGTGTACGAAACGACGATTGAGGGAAAGTCGCAAACAGGACGTAATTTACCTGACTGGTGCTACGACGCCGAGACCTCCCAAGTTTGAGCGGAAGTGGAGATGTTCTGCTCACCGAGCCTGCAATCGTCCGGTCCCGGTCGAGGATATCAAGTTTCGGGGTGAAAGTGGCGGTCAGACAACACTTGTCCGGGATTCTTCACTCGCTTCGTCAGCAAAGCATGAATTCAGAAATGTGACAGAATTTTGTCTTCGAACCGACAGAGTGGTACGTCCGTAGACATGGGCTGTTGCTAGCTCTGCAAGACAACGGACGATTAAGCTCGGAACCGGCACGGGTGTGGCAACCAACCACTGGATCAGAGCATTAATAAGTGTCAAGCCCACCGGACGAGAAGTCCGGAAACACCGGGGCATGACGCCGTTTGCTTTGTCTCAGTCACGACTCTGGCCGCGCCGTGGCGCCGCGTAGCGGCAGTCTTTGTCTCTCCGTCTCATAGAATCCAAGACACAACAACGCCGGGCCCAGACCGAATGCCACCGACCCGCTCGTACCGATAGAATGGCTCATATGATGCTACGCTGATGGATTCGCGCTCAAGTACCGTGATTGCGCAGGTCCCACATCACGTTCCCGAAGACTGAAAAACGACATCCTCGGCCAATCTAAGACAATCGATAAATAACCCAAAAGGCCGATCCCTTGCCGCGGGGCGGTCCCCGCTGGAGATATTGCCTACCCCGCTTGCGACCCGAGGGTCTCATGACGAGAACAAGGAATGCCCTCGTTGCGACGTCGCGCTACTGCACACTTGGCAAGGTCAACCCACCGCAGCCGAACCTCACAATTGGGTTCGCCCAGGGGGGTTGGAGGGTCCGTCCAGCGGGCTGGGTTCGCGAGTACGCACGTATGGGACCCGATCCATTAGCTCGGTGTTAGGCCCGGTCTTATTCCTCTTCCTCATCTTCGTCCTCGTCTGGACTGGGCTGGGCTGAGTAGGGGTTTCTCCTGAAGTCCCTCAGTCCCTGACGGGCGACGGGCCACGCCGCGGCGATAGGGAAGAACATCCAGAGACCAGACCAGACCAGACCAGACCCTACCTGGCACCCTCCTCCTCGCGTCTTTTTCGCTCTTGGTAGGCAATCCAAAGCGCCGCCATCCCGTAGCTCATCGTCTGTGCGAGCTAAGAAAGAGCCTATGGCAGCCATAAGACTCCGCCGTTTTCCCCCCGTCATCCCATCAGCGGAATTTTCCCCATTCCCCCAAACTGCCCGTTCCCATCTGCGCCCTTTTCGTTGCTTCGTTCGTGCCTCGTGGCGGTTAAAGGGTTTGCGCCCCGATTGATGTTTCATAACATCGAAGGACCCTGCTAGACGGCCGCGTTCAGAGTCACGAACCACATACGCGCTAAGAATGCCGCTCAGAGTCGCTGTCATCGGTGCCGGACCTGCGGGTCTAGCGACGACGCGGTACCTCAAGTGGGCGCATCAATTCTTCGCCATTGAGCCCATCGAGGTTCGCGTATTCGAGAAAGAGGATGATATCGGAGGGACATTCAAGTATCGCGTGTATGAAGCTGCCGAGGTAAGCCCAACGATTTGAGGCTTGAAGTCTATTTGACGTCGTGTCCTGAGTAATGTTGGTGACGCTAATACGATCAATGATAGCTTGTGTCGTCCAAATATCTGACCGCCTTCTCTGATCATCGCTTACCACCAGACGCCCCTGACTATCTTACTCCAGAGCGCTATGTAGAGTATCTGAACGAGTACTGCGACCGTTTTCAACTCAGACAGCACATCGAGCTGTCATCTCCGGTAACCCGAGTTCGTCGAAAGAAGGCCGGAGGGCACGTCGTCACAGTATCCCGTCCCGATGGCACCACATTCGAATACGAGTGCGACGCCGTCGCTGTCTGCTCCGGCCTCAACGTCGAACCCCGGATTCCGCCTGTGAAAGGACTCGAAAGAGTGCCAAAAGTTCTCCACTCCTCGGAGTTCAAGACTCGGGACCAACTTCGAGCCATCAAAAGCGAGAAGCCCACTGTAGTGATCGTCGGCACCGGAGAGACGGCTCAGGACCTTGGAGAGATCACTGTGACGACAGAAAATATCAAGCATGTTGTCATGTGCCATCGCGATGGCTTTATCGTGGCCCCAAAGGTATGCGACCAGATGTGGCCGGAGAAAATGTTAACGGATGCTAACTTCCACATAGACTGCTCCTGCACCGGTCATGTTTGGTTTTTGGGGCAAGGGCCAGAAGATCAAAGAGAAGCCAGTTGACTGCTCCATTGCCAGTTTATTCGATACAGCATACGTGCCTCCCCGGCTGCAAGCGAGCCAATTTCTTTGGGACTTTTACAACCAACAGATCGACGTCACATTTTCTCTTATTGGCGGCACGTTGGAAGGATGGGACCAGTTGGTTGGCGGCATGCGCCGTGAAAGGATGCACATCGACCATTGTAGGTTGACCAAGCTTTAAAGAGGCTGACGTCTTGAACTAACATGTTGCACAGTCTTTCCTGCCAAGTCTGCCCGAGCCATCCCGTACATCTCGGCCCCTTGGCGCAAGCCACTTTCCTTCCGAGAGCGCCTTCGCAGGTTCTTCTTTTACATCAAGGAGTTTGATATCGATCCCAAGGGTCGCTACATCGACGTGGCACCCTGGCCCGATTACGTTGACGACGATGGGGTGATGCACTTCATGGACAATGGACGGCCGGAAGCTGAGAGGATGAAGGGAATTACTGTTAAGCCGGACTTGGTCATCTTCGCAACAGGATACACGCGACGCTTCCCTTTCCTTGACGAGAGCTATGGTACACCTGACTCGGCGGATGTACGAGCTGTATACCACAGTCATGACGTTACGACAGGATTCATCGGATTTGTTCGACCCAATCTCGGTAAGCCCGCGTCAGTAAACGATAACGCAAGTATGCCTTACTAACATTGCATAGGCGCCATACCTACCCTCGCCGAAATGCAAACTCAGTTCTGGATCCTTCGACTCCTGCAATCAAGATACCCCACCGTCCCCGGCCTCAACCCATCACCGAACGGCCTGCCACTAGACCCCAATGCGCTACCCGGCTACGATATCGATTGGAAGCTACACCCCCGCTGCGGCCGCGACCCATGGGCCGAGAAGCGCGGCGTCGACCACGAGAGCTATGTCTATCAGCTGGCGCTCGACATTGGGTCAGCACCGCGCTTCAGCTACATCCTGCCGCAGGGCTTCCGCGCCGCTTACACTTGGGCCATGGGCAGCAATTTCAATGCCAAGTTCCGTCTCGTCGGTCCCTGGAAGAACGAAGAGGAGTCATTGCGCATCATGCGCGGAGAGCTGTTTGGCATTGTCAGCCAATCTGGTGGATTGTTGTACTTTTTCGCTAATACGTTGATACCCATGTTCATGTTCGGAACGATGAGCGTTGCTATTCACACTTGGGACTGGGCAAAGAGCCTGGTTACGCCGTGGAGACGCAAGGAGGGCCGAATTCGTCTTTCTCATTGTTAGCCATGCAAGCGTTGCTTTTAGTTGAATCACACTAATGGTTCGTCCATGTCGAATACCAAGGCGTTTCTTATGTCCTATCAAGGCTAATGCAATCTTTCCGAACCAAACTTAAGCGAGTGTATGTGACCATTTCCATAAAAAGTGCTCCGTTATATGCATGTACAGTCCATCAGTCTGATGTCCACCAAAAGCCTAGTTTCTCTCGGCAGAACCCCATCTGACGCACTGGATACGGCGGTTGTCACCAT